TAGAGAAGTGAGAACACCCCAAGAAACGATTTGGTTACGGTTTTAAGCAAATTGAGTCTTTTGTTGCATGCTAACGCAAGTGTTGTATGTGCTGTTTTCAGGAAAAGTTTTTGATCCAGCCACATACTAAGGAATTTCACGGAGTTTTGGAAGGGCATGATGCTGTTGTAAAGATAAAGGACTAATGCAATGTATGATTTTTTCGTTAAAAACCGTACCAGTTGTCTTTGTAACGGAGAATTCGAAGCCTGTACTAGCTGTCCACTCATCCAGCTGGGTGAAAAATGTCTGTACTATTCTACACATGGATTCTTTTTGTGCTCCTTTAATGTACACCACTAAATCGTCGGCATAGAGGCGATTTTAGAGGTTTTATGTAATTTGTTTAATATGTTGTTTATGGCAACTAGGAATAGGGTAGGACTCAGTACTGAGTCTAGCGGGGTACCGTTTTCTGCAGTATAAAAGTCAGAATAAACGTTAGTAACTCTTAGAGTATCCGCACATAGCGTTTCTAGTTAGTAACCATCTTTAATGCATCAGTGATCACGCGCAGACTGGACGTGCAGCTCGCGTGGGGACTAGTTTCTAGTTGGTTGTGATATTTTTAAGGTTTACATGCGAAATTTCGAAATTGGAAGAACAGTCGTTTAATATAAAATTAGTGCAAGAAGTAGAAAAAACATCCCTGCCTATACCTCCTGAGACCCAGAGTATTTTTTTAAATATTTTTCAAAGTATTTTGGATTTTTTGCGTTTTATTTGACATTATACTTACAGTAAAAAATGACAAAAAAAATATGTTCATGGAAAATATGGCTTTTCTCAATGTATTAGACCTCAGTCTTTGGTATGAAACTTTAAAAAACAATTTCGTTTCCGTGTACTACATAAAAATATCTTACATTTTGTACAAAATGCAGTTGTGGTATTTTTACAATTGATCTTTCTGCATCTATTTTGTTTATCAGCATAGTCCACTAAATGTTCAGCCTTATGAAGACGTTTAACTTCGGCAGACTGCCATCATTCTGTCAACAAGGTCAACTCCGCCCATGAACCGGTTATAGTTTTTGATCACCTCAGGTCTATTAACCAGTTCGTATTCCTTTTTACGTTTTGACCATCTTCTGCATTGATCTGGGTTGTTAGCAGCATGGTATGTAGACACAATCGTAGCAGGTGTGTTGTCTAACCAGCGAGTTATGGCAATACTTCCATCACCTCGAACCTTCGTTTCTGAAGTGCCTCTTGGATTTTTCGTGAACTGTTTTTCTGGTGAAAAGATACAATTCCGAGGGACTCTCCTGTTTCAATCGTGCCTGTTGCGTGGAAACCTCTTTCTAGTAATATATCAGCAAGTTTTATTGTCGTAAATATAACGATCAAGTAAAGGTGATGACCAGGAACAAGACTTTCACACAAACTCAGAATTGCTGATTCAACCAAGCCATATTTCTGTGCTGTAAGCTCTGGGAATGTTGAATCACCCTGATATACTATCATATCGCATACTGACCCATTGAATTGGCAAGTACAAAAACCTTTATACCAATAGGGTTTGATTTTCCTGGGCAGTATTGACGAATTCCGCAATGACCAGTGAAAGGTATTATCATTTCATCTATACTTATATTATCAGATCTGATTTGAGCATGACAACCATTTAATATACTGTTGAACAGAGGTAAGACTTTCCAAATTTTGTTTATTCTTTGTTGATCATTGATTTCATCATCATAAATAACCTTTAGAGATGTTCTGATTGTAAAAAACCGTGGTTCGCGTCATAGCATTTTTGACGATTGAAACACCATACTTTCTCGACCAATACATTTCTTATCGTTGGGAGCTCTATAGCAGTCATAACAAATAGGATGTCAATAAATGTTTTTAATTCTTTACTTGTCAACTTCAGCTCTATTCCTTTTCTTTCTACATATGTTCTATTTGTTGCTACAGTCGTGATTTCCAATATGCGGTCATCAATATATTGCTTAAAAAAATCTTCGGGAGTCCATAACTGATAATCCATATCTTTATACCTTGGCTGGTAAAGGGGTCTTTTGTAGGGGAGTGAAATTACGGTCTAGCATCAGTTACTGACATGTCATAATGACAGCTATGTCAAAGTTGGCCTGATAACACTTCAGTATATTGTTTATAAGCCGTCAAAAGCATTTGCATTTAAGTTTTATACATACAACAAAAGTTATTCGCAATGGAATTTAAACGTAATAGTGTGATTGCGATATATTTGGCTGGAAAATCACAACCAGCTATTGTTCGTCAGCTCAAACACCTCAAAGTGAATAAAATGTTTGTGTATCGCACCATAACTCGTTATAATGATACTGGTAGTATTGCCAAAACGCTATGGTGGTGGACGAAAAAAAAACCACCACCTGAAATGTTGAAAGTGAGGCTCGACTTGAGCAAATCCTCGTAGTGTAATAAAATGGCCAAAGAACTGAAAATATCCCAGCGAAGTATGCAACGAATATTGAAAAAGGAGCTCAAGGTCAAGCCTTACAAGTTCCAAAAAGCACACAATCTTACACCAAAGCAAAAAAAGTTCGGCTTGAAACAAAGGAGTTGTTACGTCTGCACGAACGTGGCGAATTTCCGAACATAGTGTTCTCTGATGAGAAAAATTTCCCTATTGAACAGTTTATAAACTCTCAAGATGATCGTGTTTACTTGACCGAATGCACCTACGAAAGTTTGAGCTTGCGAAAGGCTACCCGAAGTAATTTCCCATCTCAAGTAATAGTATGGGCAGCTATAACCGCCGATGGACGCTCTCCAATCGTTTTTATTGAATCAGGTGTCGAAGTAAATGCAACTTATTATCGGGAAAATGTTTTAGAAGCTGCTTTAGAGCTGCAGGCACGCAAACATTTCGGTTTTAGACCATGTACGTTCGAACAAGACTCAACACGTCTCATAAAGCTAGTGCGAACCAAGAATGGTTAAAAAACCATGTCCCACACTTCATTTCATCCAACAATGGCTTTCGAATTCGCTAGATACAATCCGATGGACTATTCTATCTGATCATTTTGGAGAACAAGGTGAGGACTAAAAAATATGCCAGTATGGATGCGCAAAAGAAAGCAATTATTCGTGAATGAGCCAAAATACCGGAAGATCACATTCGTGCAGCATGCAACTCGTTTTTTGATCGTTTGAAGGCCATAGTTAAGGCAAAAGGTGGCTACATCGAGGTAATATGGATGGATTCTGAAACTTTGATTATTTTCACACATTTTTGTCATTTGAATCAATAAAAAATAATTTCACACAAAAAAAATTATGGTCATTTGAATAGGTAACAGTTCAATTGCGTAACCCTGTATATGGGGTCCAAAATAAAAATTTTATAATTACAAATTATTAATGCCATATTTGACGATTTAAATTTTCAACTACTTCTTCGTTTAAGTCTTAAAAATGTCCAATAGGTACATTGACACGAAAAAAATTACAGCGGTTTTTGCCATAAAAGAAAAGAAAAGCAAAGAAACGAAACAAAGTTCCTCAAGTAAATAAAATGCCGGTTCTGTATATATCCATCAGGGCAATATTGTAATATTAACACACGCACTGCAATCATAATATTATCGTCATCGTCATGTAGTCGTGTACGATAGAAGCTTTTCACTAAATGTGTTGGAATCAATTACATTATTAAGCCATTATTGATGTTTTTATAAATCAAAATAAACATTTGGTCACTGTTTGAAGACGATTAGGATGTACTATATATATTTATCTAATATCCCGTTGTTTATTTAGAACGAATCACTCTAGAAATGAAGGATATTATTTATATATTATTTAATATTTATTGCATAGAATAATTGTATTGAGTAAAATACCTCTTCACACGAATGTGTTGTTCTTTTCCTAAAATGACCTGTAGTGTTTGATCTTTATCAATTTTAGAGCATATTTATATATTTTATTCAATATATTAATTCTTACAGTGGCCCTACCATCCCTTCATGGTAGTTTCTCGTAGAGTAGAACAAATTTTTATAGACAAATCCTTTATCTTCTCTAATATGAATGATAGTACAACGACGATATGCTGGAAATCTTCCATGATTTACTTTTAAACGTGATGTAATAGATTTCTTTGCCTATTATAATTCCAAGAATTCTTTTTCTTTTTATAAAAGACATGAACTGTCTATTTTCCAATGTGCCACCAGTAAGTTGTCGTTCAATCGTTTTTGTGTCATTTTACTGATAGTCTTTACCTATTGCGCAACCGTCTCTTGCCGTCTTTACTACTCTAGTTGTTGTCATTTGGCTTATATGATACGTTCTTTTCTACTCTTCTATTTCTTACCTATGTTCTTGTTGTTCTCCATCTGGCATCTACGGTCGTAATCTGCACTTGGAGAAGGAAGACCTGAACATTATCAGAGTATACTGCCCAAAAAACAAGGGAAACGTTTTATGACCAATTACAACAAGAAGTAGATCAAGTCAGAGGAATGATGATAATTTCGAAGGATTTTAGCGCTCGAATCTCAAGAATTCATATTGAGTAACGTTTATCGGTAGCACTGGATAAAATTTTAAGATAATGATTTCTGGTGTGGTTGAAAAATGTTCTGTACTGAGCTACTTCTAAATACAATCATTCCTTATATAAATATAAATTTAAAATGTGACGAGTTTCGAATATTTACTCTGAGTTTTACTTATTCTGAGTTAAGTAATTTTTTGCATTTTCAGTTATCCTGAATTACCTCTTAACCAGCGCCGAGAGAGATGAGATGGTCCGGTCAGGAAAGTGAGAGATTTGCCCCCCCGGCAAAAAGTAAAGAACAAAAAAAATAATTTTTACAGAAAAAAAATCATCAATAAATAAAATAATACTTAAATAATAATTAACATTTTGAAATATCAAATTATTAAATTTTGAGTATATTTATGATAGTGAAAATATTTATAATGGAGGTGCTTCTCTATTATTTTGATTTTACCAAACCAATGCAGTTACTAGGTGAGTTAATTTATCCTGCTTCATGTGTAGATTCATACCATTTTTTATGCGAGACAGACAAACAAAAGGATTTCAAATTTGAGATATTTAATTTATCTAAGTAAATCTATTGAAAACATTGAGATTCACCAATATCCTTGTATGTGGCTTTTAAATGAAAAATTTCATCTATCAATTCTTTCTTCATGATGTCTTGTCCTTGTCTTGTCTTCACTGATGTATAAAACTTTATTCCTAATATTTTTTTTTTCTTTGAACTATTCTCTATCCTTCCATTGTTGGATATTAGGTATCTAGGCATATCTAAGGTGATTTAGGTACTTTCGGAAATTATATCGCCTTGTCGGTCTCCTCGTTTAACTTTTATATTTATCCGTTATTAATTTGTCGTCCACAAATTACGGTTATGGTTGTGTTTTGGTAAATATCATGTATCAATTGTCGGTATCTTGAATATATGCTTGTATTAACCAGAGTTCTTCCACCGCTCAGTGTTCATATGCTGTCGAAAGCCTTTTCATAATCTACGAATGCTAAGTAAGCGGAAGGTTGTATTCATTGGTTTCTCAATTAAGATTTTAAGCGCATGTAGATGGTCGATTGTGCTGTATCCTTTCCTGAATCCGGTCTGTTCCACTGGTTGGTAGTTTATCAAATTTATAGGTTAGTCGGTTGTTTATTATTCTTGTGAAGGTTTTATATAGTTGTGACAAAAGGTAAATAGGACGGTAGTTGTTTAGTCTGTTCGGTCTCCTTTCTTATGTATGAAGACTTGTGTTGGCATTTCTCCATTGTTTAGGTATTTTATACCTTCACACAGACATTTGTGAACAGTATTTTTTTGCATTTTTTTTTATCGTGTCTTCCTCCTTCTTTTAGCAGTTCTGCCAGTATTTTGTCCTCACCTGCCGCTTTATTTCTTTTCATGTCGTTTATGGATTTTTTCGATTTATCTTCTCAGTTATTTCTGGTAATACCTCTGAGCTAACATTTTGTATTTTCCTAGAGAGATTCTGTTTTAGATGATAGTGGTATGTCATTTTTAGAACTGTATAGGTCTGTGTAATATATTCCTGTGATTTTTACTATTTTCCTAGATCTCTTTCTTAATTGTTCTCAGCTTTAAGCATGATTAGTTTTCTTTTTCCTATATTTGTCTTCATGTTTTTAAAACTTTTGTTTTCTCTATCATTTTCTTAATACGATCTTTCTTGGTATTTCTTTAAATCTTCCTTTATCTGTTTTCTTATGGTTTGGATTCAGTTCGGTAACTCCACTGTATTTCTTTTGTTATCATTCAGGAGTTGTCGTCGATTTTTTAGCATATCTTGTGATTTAGCGCTATTTTCGTTGTTTTCACTTTTTTTTATTAGCAATCTTCAGGCCTGCTTCTAATATATTGTCTTCGAAATAATATCTCAATGATCTATTACACATCTTCCAATTCCAAATAAATTCGTGATAAACTTTTCCATAATACATTTCTTTCGGTATTTTTGGCAAAGTTTTCCAAAGTAAGAATGGGGGAGTAGACCGTAGGTAAAATAAAATATTAAATGGGAGTCAATGAAATCAATAAAAAGACAAAAAAAAAGGAAACACAAAACACGTGAAACACAACACAAAAGAGATGATGATAGCAAGTAAAAAGCGACGAAATCAACTATTTCTACATTAATTTTTAAATAGCTTAAGCAGTAAATCATTACATGATGGCATCAAAATTACTTGTTTTAATATGGGAGAAATATTTCTTACATGTATTCGAACAGAAAAATTTTTATCTTGCTTATAAACAAGGAATTTTTTAAAACTTTCGTTCTATTTGTCCTTCTATTAGTAGTTGAAGCACTTTAAAGGAAGTTATATCTCTTGTGTCCAAGACAAGGTGTTATATATGTCCAAGATAATTTCTACAACTTCACAATCTCTATTCATATCCTTATGGAACATTTTGTAGTAATATGGCTGAATATTTACATCTCAAAGTTTTCCAAGTGTCATAGCAAGCTAATTGTCAGCGTCCTGGCTTCCATACCATGCAGTAGGATAGTGTATTATATAGCATTTTATCATGCGAAATCGTAGAGTTAGATCAAGATCTCGGTTGGTGAAAGATTGTTTAATTTTATCGTGAAGTTTTTCATCGAAGTCTTCTCTTCACAAGTTTGCCTTTCTGTTTGTTTAAGATTTAAATTATAGACTCTGTCCTGAGGTAACTGTCCTTATGATAAGACGTTGGGAGAATTTAATCATAAGTATATTCTGTGAATGTCCTAAAAATGTTAACGTCTGTTATATCCCAGTTAATTCAACATTTAAGTGTCCTCGAATAATTAATGTTTCAACCATTTTTTTTATAAAAACATTTACGATTTATTGGTAAGCTTTGTAGTATATAAAAAAAGTAGTATATTTATATAGTAAAAGTAAAATGCTAGTTAAGATTCGACTTAGTTCGTAAGGTTTTATTATGCAATTTGCAATTTAGTTAAAATTTATTATCTTTTATTTTGTGATTCTGTGATAATGACGATTTATGTAATTTTAGTAAATTTGAATTGTTATTGTTATGCTTTTTTTTGTAAATTTTTATAGTTTATTTTTATGAACGAGAGAGTAATTACGCATAATTTTACTGTGTATCCTCCGACCACTCCATGGGCGTGCTCAAGATTAATTGAAAAATTACTTTGAATAATTGTAAAAAATAAATGAATTATTTCAGTGTTATAAAATGTGTTATGTGTATGTAAACAAAAGTGACCTTTTTTATCACACACTATATTAGAACTGGATGGCCTACATTAAAAAGGGTTTTAAAAAATTCACATTTTTTTTAATTTTTAAAAATTACAAAAGAGAAAAAAATTTTTATAAACCGGTCTAAGGTATGTTAATAGATGAATAAACATATTTAATATAAAACTTACAGCTACTTCTTACAAATCCAAATCAGATTCAGAAGATGAACTTTCAGAACCAAGATTTATATAAACTGGCTCGATCATTTATCAGTAATATTGTCCAGCTTCCACATTTTTTCCTCTTCTTTAATAGTGTGATTATACTGCCTTTTCCCAGTTTTCAGGTTTTACATTATTTACGGCCTCCAAAAACAACTGTTTAACATCATGAATTTTAAAAGTGGTATTTTTTCTGAAACTTCACTCTTTATCTGTGCCCATACCAGTTCAATCGGGTTTAATTCAACAATGATATGGTGGGGATCTAAGTACTGTCATTCCACGATTTTTGGCAATTTCATCCAATTTCGTATTTTTAAATTTTTCTTTATGAAGGGCACACAACGAAATAAAGTTCCTTTCTTATAGATCCGGGATGGTACGTAATATTTTTTTGAACTCAGCCAATTCTGCAAGTCTTTTTTAACCACTTGGTTGTGGGCAGTCCTTCTATAAGTCTGGAGTGATAACTTGCATTATGCATTACTATTACACAGTTCTTAGGAAGAAGACCTATCATTTGTTCGAACCATTCTTGAAAGACATCAGCGTTCATGTTTCATGGTAGTGTCACGGTACGAGTTGATTCACAAGTTAATAAACCACCTTCAACCAAAACCGTCTGAACTGCAATGTGTACTATTATCAGCCTGCGTCCCTTTCCTGATGGTGGGTTTAAACCAGTAGATAAGTTATTTACAAAAGCGTGCCTTTGACTTGTAACAGTTTCATCCTGCCATAAATTTTTTGGTGTATGACCCTGTTGATCCATGTTTCATCAAGATAAAAATATTTTTCTTTTTTGTTTTCTCATTTCCTTATGGTCTTAGAAAATGTCCTTATCACATATGACAATATCGCTTCTTTCTAATAAAAATAGACTTTCTGGGATTCTTTTTCCAGCGGAAGCCTATTTTTTTAAAAGTTTCCTAACATACTTCGACTCATTTCTGGGTAATCTTATCATCTCGAACTGAGACAAGAACTTTATCCAATGTTGGGAATTCTTGTCTAAAGAAGAATTCATTGCACTTTCCGTCGAAGTTTCTTTAAAATGATTATTCTATTTGAAATTTTGGTTTTCTGGAGCTTAGTGGCATTTGAAAACTACCAACATTTCTCTTCTTTAATAACTCTGTAAATCGTAGATTCCCAACACACAGTGTATGCTAAACTAACTCAACGGTCTCATCAACATTTTCACCTATAAACGTTTGTCTGTAAATGATTTAAAAACAATTAAATATTAATGTTTTTTCATTTAACTGTTAAAGGACCATTTTTCGGGCGTTTACACGGCACTTCCAAATTTTCCATAACACTAGTATACACAATAAACTGCACCTTGCAACTGAAAGAGTGTCCTACTTTTGAGGGAATGTTAAGAATTTTGAATACGCCACTTGGACCTTCCTACAAAATGGAAAAACCCACTATCACATTTTTGTGGAATATAGTTTAGATGGTAATTATCTAGTCAATTACTGTCGTAGATTCTTGGAATTAAAGAATTAAATGTTTGATTGTTGAAACCCTTACTTCGTGGAATGAACTCTATTCAGATAAATAAAACGTTTTATTTTATCTAATGAATTATTAAACTTTATTTTGCGCAATAGGTAGGTACTTATTAAACTTTTATTGGTTATATATAACCAATAAAATAAACATCTTACATTTCTTGCAAATTCATTAGTACCTGTTAACCTCCATCCTCCGACACTGGCAACTTATTTAGGGATTAGTAACCCTACAACTATTGTATTCTATTCTGCTCCAACCTTTTATACCTGGTGGTCATACTCAATTTAAAATTGTTTTCCTATTTATACTTCTGTAAATTTGTTGACAAATATCTGTTTTTTATTGAGTCACCCGTATCAACAGTTTAGAGATTAACTTTGAAAATAAGGCTATTATCGAGCACAAGTTAATTAAATCTAACCCAAGTTTAGGGATTTGCATACATAATTTATTGTTTTATTACTCTCTCATACATAAAAATACACTATAAGCTTTGTCCATAAAATTGTATAGTCTTCAGTAATAATAAAGCAT